TCTGATAGTAACCCGAACTTTGGGCTTCGAGATGTCTAGAATGGTCTCATCTTCATGAAAGATCACATATCGGCTTCTCACTATCTTCTTATTGATTGGATCCCAAAGTCGGAACGTGAACTCACATCTCAGCGAACCAAGATAAATGCATTTTTTAGTCCTTTCATCGAGTTTTTCCTTTCATCTTTAGGGATATGCACGAAAGCTCGGCATCCAAATATCTTCAATTGATTATAGGCCACTTTCCGACCTGTCCATACTTCTTCTGGGATTTCTCCTTCAAGTGGTCGTGATTGTGAGAGGTTGATCAGGTCAACAGAAGTTCTGACGGCTTCTCCCCAGAATGATTTCTGCAATTCGGTATTGGATAGCATACGTCGGACCTTCTCTTCAATAGTCTAGTTCATTCTCTCAGCCAGTCCATTCAACTGTGGAGTCTTGGAGGGCACCTTCTCAAGTTGGATCTCAGCTGCTCTGCAGTATGCATCAAATAAGCCGCAAAACTCACCACCATTGTCAGATTGAACCACCTTTAATTTCTTGCCAGTCTCCCTTTCAACCATAGTATGAAACTCTTTAAAGGATTGGAGTACCTGGTCTTTAGAATTCAATAAATAAACCCACACTTTGCGGGAGTGGTCATCAATGAATGAACCAAAGTACTGAGCTCCTCCAAGGGATCTCTTTGACATGGAGCATACATCATTATGGACGAGGTCAAGAATATACCTGCGTCTTCTGGGTTGATCTGGTTTCATGAAAGAAACTCGGTGCTGCTTTTTCAGCTAGGCAGTGCATGCAACTCTCCAACACTTGACCTTTCAACTCGGTCAATAATCCTTTCTTGTTCAGGATTTGGAGCTCTTTCACGCTCATATGGCCGAGGCGTTTGTGCCACAACTTCAAGCTATGTCCATCTCAAACAGAATTGACTTCTCCACCATTTATCTTTCCTTGCATCATATACAAGGAGCTTTCCTTCTTACCTCGGGCAACAACCAAGTTTCCCTTGGCCACCTTCCATTTACTACTATCGAAGTGGTTCACTAACCCGGCATCATCAAGCTTGCCTACAGAGATTAGGTTCAATCGCATGTCAGGAACATGCCTTACAACTTTCAACACAAGTCGGCACCCAACATCTGTGGTTAGGGTCACATCACTGACACCAACAATCTTTCTCGTCACTTGATTTCCCATTTTCATGACTCCAAAATCACCACCTCGGTAAGAGGAGAAAAAACCTTTGTGTGGAGTAACGTGGAAGGAGGCACCAGAGTCAACAATCCATGTGCAGTCATAATATGCAACATTCAAAAAGTTATCCTCACCAAGGAGGAATATCACAGCATCCGAGCTAGCAGCCACCGCAGTGGTGCTCTTGTCTTCCCTCTTCTTGGGAATAATTTGATCCGGATTCACAAAGCCATTCTTCTCGTCATTCTGCAGAGTCCTTCACTCTGGCTTCCCATAATAGAAGCACTTCAACTCATATTTTGTCCTAGACCGGCCTTTGGACTTTCTCGTCTGTCACGATCTCGACCCCGACTCTTACTTCTACCCCAGAAGTCATATTTCCCTCTGTTCTCAGCAATGTTGGCCTCAGACATGCTGGAAACACCTCGTTCTCTTCTCTTGGCTTCTTCGTTCAGGAGAATATCTGTTACAACATCCATCTTCAATTTTCCTTCTGGAGTCGAATTACTCAAAGTCACCACCAGAGTATCCCAGTTTTCTGGCAGCGAGCTAAATAGCATCAAAGGTTGCATCTCGTCATCAATTTTCATCTCGGCTTTTGACAGCTGATTAACTATACCTTTGTAGGTGTTGAAGTGTTCAATCATGCTCATGTCGTCCTTGTATTCGAGTTTCATAAGTCGGCTAAACAGGTGTGCTTTGTTCTTAGGAGTCTTCTTCCGAATGATGGACTCCAACTTCGTCCACAACTCGTAAACTCAGACATGTGCTCAAAGAGTTTGTCTATGTATTTCCTGATTGTAGCTACCGCCTTACGACTCAGGATCTCCCACTCTTTATCGGTTTTGCTTGCCGATCTCTCATCAAGGATAATGGGCTCATGTAAATCTTTGCAGTAGAGATGATCTTCCATCATCAGTCTCCAATAAATGAAATTGTCTGCGGTTAGCTTGAACATATCACCGTCTTGGGTTATGCCACCGGTCTCCATCTCGTCTCCCTCAGAACTCGTCGAACCCGAGCTCTGATACAACTGTTGGGAACTCGGTTCCCTCAACTCGGCTAAGAAGCCTTTTTGTGAAAGTTAATCAATAAGGTCCTGGATCTCGGATCTCGGCAATCTTAACTCGGCCTGAACTTCACCAGGTCGGGCAGCGCGCTGAAAAAACAAAAATACAAAGGGGAGAGAGAAAGAGAACACAAGTAGATTTTAACATGGAAAAATCTTCTCCAATGAAGAAGTAAAAATTCCCGGGACCTAGTCTAGTTCAAACGTCCACTATGATAATAATGGGTACAAAGAATCAACCTTCACCAATGTGGTGGCTCACACAACCTCTTCAACAATGGTGATAATCAAATTTCCCTAGAGATGTTTCACTCAAACTCTCTCTGGAGGTGCTCTCAAATGCAAAGCTCAAAGCTTTACTCACAAATCTCTCAAGTGTCACTCAAGAGTCTCTCAATAATCTTCTAACCTAGCCTCCACCCACAACTAATGAATATATAGAGGAGATGAAATCTAGGGTTTAGGATTTTTAGGAAACCCCTCAATGAGCTTGGGCTTAACACTGAAGGAGGAAGCCCAATAGTAGTTTTGTTTAAATTAGTGAACACATTAATTAGATTGAGGTTTGTAACCTTTCTTCAAACTTAATTATTTCACTTTTTTTGTTATGAAACATTTATTATTTTGTAGATAGTTGATTTGTGAAGTCCTAAGTTCTTGCAAATTTTTATAATCACAAAGAATTTCATTAGATGAGTTAGCTGGTACATACAAGTTAGTACTATGTCTTTTTTTTGTTATGTCATATTGCACTATCCTTTCAACATAGAGGAATTCAGAAATCAAATTTAAGGTTATTAAAATTTAAATGCTGGATAACATAGCCATTATTTCATAGAAAGATAGCGAATTGAAAGGCAATAACAGAAGTAGTTTGAACTAACTTTATTTTATTTTGTTTTATTTTGTTAAATCAATTATAGAAGTAGATTTCTATATGCTAAAGCAAACCATTTAAGATTATATATTTCAAATATTATGGGGGAGAACTAGCTACGAGTCAAGTTATATCAACCACAAGAAGATGTAAAGAATAATTTCATTCTAAAATCTTAAGACGTTTGGTGGGGGTCTTTTTAATGATTTATATTATTCTCTAACATACCCCTTTACATAAGAGCTGTTTAGGCTTGAAAAGTAGGTATTGACCCAATTTTTTTTTTTTGTATACTTATTTAATTTCATAAGTGAGGATTGAATTCGTGACCTTATGATCATTGAAGTTGTGATACCATGTAAAGAACTATTTCAACGCAAAACCTTAGGGTGTTTGGATAAGAACTTTTTTAATGATTTATATTATTCTCTAATACAAGACCTTAAGACATTAAATGCATGGGTTTTTTTTGCTTCTTTCACTTAAATGTTTGTTTAGTCATCTTTTGTCCGATATGAGACTTTATCACTCATATTTGAATTATTATCAAATTCCCTTCTAGTTTTGACTCCATAACATGAGCCAAGAGACACAAACCCAAATATCAATCACTACCTCCAAATACTCACCCAGACAATCACCATTGGCTATGATATAACTATTTATAATTACACGATCAGGGAGAATCTAAAATATGAAAGACCTACCCTCACTGGACCAATTTACACTAACCACAATATATGAACCTGATACCACTAGAAATCTTACATTGTTAGTTTATGGGTTCACTTATATATTAATTGCTTAGCCAATTTCTATTTTATGTAAAATTTTGTCACTTGCACTTGAATTTCCATCATCATAAAAATTTTTGTAACAGTTAATTAACTGCTTGGAACTTCCATTAGAAAGGTTAAACCTATAGGCGAGTACGTTCACCAAATTAAGGTACACTTTCCTAAAGATCATTAATTTTGCGTTTCAATCGATGATATGAACTTTTCTGTGGACTAATATTTAATGATTTCTCTGGCATTTTATAAATTTGTATTTAATTTTTCTAATAAGTGCCTTTACGCCACTTAGTTATGAAATTAAAAAATCAATAAATAAAAATACAATATTACTAGATTGCTTGAATTTTCAATATATTAAATTTTATTTTTTGTTTTATTTTTTCATTATCAAATGTTTTTATGAATCCTTATAAATAAATCCTTCTGTATATTAGTCTTACGAGAAGAGAAACAGATAAACAAATAATAAAACATAAAAAATATGGAATTGAAAATGGTATACTTGTAATTTTGTGTAAAGAAGAGGAGTGAACAGTGAAGACAATATTACTCCATTTAGTTATGTATACCTAGAAAAAGAAATCCCCGTAAAATGTATGCACTGCCAGACATATACGTACTGAGACAATTCTGAAACGGAAAACGACACTCCACTACAACATCGATCAGTGTCTCACCCAAACCCTAATCTTCTTTCATTAATAAACTATTTCCTAATTCCCAACACCAACTTTCATTTTCCATTTCTTTGAATTTACACTGCCTTCTCCTTTCTCTCCTTCACTATCTCCTAACCCCCAAATTGCTCGTCCGAATGCATCTTAAGTCACAAAACATCATATACATATAAAATCAATCAACCAAGAAATGAAGAAAAAAAAAAAACCCTCAAAATATCTGTCAGCTTTAGCTATATGTATATGATGAGAGTTGAACATGGTGTTTCAAACATTAATAAATTATTAAAGTACTCTCGTAGGTGCAAAAAGAGAGCAAATTACAGTTCTCTTTGGACTTTGATCTTCCTCACACGCACCCAATTGTGAAAATAATTCCTTTTTCAAGTTGGTGTTGATCTATGCCCCAAGCGGAGCTCTAGATCAAGTTCCTCATGGTGTTGGCCACGGTTGGTGGAAGAGTTCGTAGGTTCATCCCCTTTGCTAGAGTAAGAAGAAAAACCATTGATCCCTGCAGCTGAAGAAGCTGCTCTAGCCATATCAAAAGAAGGTGAACAAGTTGGCATCATCATAATAATGTTGTTTTGTGGGTAGGAAGAGACAGAGAGAAGAGTGGAGGGTGATTCACCACATGCATTCAGTGTAGCACTGTGACTATGAGTATTAGGGCTTGGCAAATGGTAGAAGAGGCACAATCCACCATTAGCAACAAGCTCCTGATGAGGTGGGAAGTGAGAGTAATTAGAGGAAGTGGTTGTTGTTGTTGTTGTTGTTGTGTTGGGTGAAGCAGCAGGGTACTGTGGTTGGTGGAGGCGTGCACGGTCACGGCGGTGCACGTTCATGTGGCCACCGAGAGCTTGTGCTGACCGGAACTCCCTTCTACAGAAGGTGCAAGTGTAGGACCTCGGAGGCCAAGTGGTTCCCATCATGTTTCTAGTGTCTTCTGCAAAGGCTCTGACTTCCCATGATTCGTCTTCTTCTTTTTGTTCATCCCTAGGATTCCACATCCAATTCGATGATGAACCGGTGGATTTAGGGTTTTGTTGAGGTTGAGGTTGATTTTGATTTTGATTTTGATGGTGTTGTTGGGATTGTGACAAATTTGGGATCTGGGTCATGGAGAGAAGTCCAATCCCTGCAGCCATGGTATTGAAACTGACATTTAAGATAGATAGATAGATAAAAAGATAGATAGATATGTGTGATGGAGGAGTTGATGTGGAACAAATTGTAGGAAATTTTTTTGGTTAAATAGGGGATGGGGTATATGGTTTATATATATATATGAGGGAGACAAAATGAAGACCTAAAACTCCAATCGAATGTATCACTGATATTTTGAAGACTGTATTTGGATCATATATAGTAAAGATTGACATTATAATAATGATTAATTGTGTGATAACTTTATTGTAGCTCACACAACTAGTTTACCGTATCTGCTATAGACAATCTCTTTGCTTCGGCTTCTACGCCTTCAAATATCTAAGGCTTGCTCTCCAATTGTTTAATCTGCTCGGCCCAAAACAAACGGCAATAATATATAAATTAGCATCATAAAAATTTATAACTTGGTGCGGAAGACTAACATGTTTGTTAGGTATAATTCAACGGCATAATTGTTTAAAACTACTTTTTAAGAAATTACTAAACAGTGAAATTGTACTTGTGTTTAGTGCCATTTAAACGAATGCGTTTTTCTTAAATCGTTGATTCAGTTAAGAAGCTACAATGCTATGAAACTAAGGTCTTGGCTAATAATCGCACTAGTCAAACTTGCCACCCTTTAAAATATAAGAGTTGACAATGAGTGACTTAATGATATTGATTAATAATTAAAGAGTAGTTAATAATTTATGTTATGTGTTTTATTTACCTTTTTTGAACCTTTATTGTAATAAATATTTAAATTTTTGTCATCTAATGTTTTAACTTTTAAGAATACTTGTTAACAAATTTCTTAAAATATACAGGCTTAATTATATTTGTATCAATTTATTACGATCGCAATGCTAGCAGACTTGTTCTCTAATCAATTCTCTCATTCTGTTTGTTTTTTATTGTCAAGGAAAATCCTTCAGTAAAGGGGAATAAAAATTCATTATGCGCGTTTAAGGGACGAAGAGTATTTAATTACGACCCCTTCTTAACCTTTTCATGTAACTTCAGTGCAGATATATAGTACAATCAATGAAAGATATCTCATATAGTATAATAAAGAAACATTTCTTGGAATTAGACATAACTTTCTTCGTCTACGAACAAACCAAGAAACACCTATCTTACATTCTCGTATCATTGTTTGCGTCGTCCAGCTGGTCCATGCCACCTAGTACCCAGACATGAGGGCTCTTAATCACAATTGATTAATCGTTCTCTTGCACTGCTCAACATGTTAAGGTTGCAATTAAATAATTAATTGCATATCCCACTTCTCAAGGAAGTTAATTAGAAGTAGAAGATTACTTTTGCAATGCTCTGATTTAACTTCAACAATCAAAGACTTAATTCCTTTCATTATCTCAACTAGTGAGCCACGATATATATATATATATATATATATATATATATATATATATATATATATATATATATATATATATTACATGAAATAATGCGTGAAGGTTAAATAATATATAGTTATATAGCTAGAACTTATGTTTTAGACTTAGCTAAATAACCAAATATAATAAAAGTCCAAATTTTTTAATTAATTAGACCCCATGTATTTACACCCAAAAAGTACGCGGGTATTTAACTATGACTAAGTCTCGACTCGAAATTAGTCTCGTAGTCGGCTCAAAAAGTTAAAACTTATAGGGATACTCGGGGGCCAACTCACTTCAAAAATGTAATTAAGGTTGGTATAAAAATAGTGTTATGAATTGGATCCATATTTTAACAACCTCTCCAACAGAAGATAAAGGAGAATATTACAACAACTCAACCATTACAGTACTAAGAGATAAAATCCTTATCTCAACAATAGCATCAAATATGTTAATAACCTGGAAGGTATCTAAAGCCCAAACTCAGCAAGGTAAACTCATAAACAGAGGTTAAAGACCTCTGGTATACACTTTTGAACTTATTCTCTATTGCTACCAACACTGTGCACACATACTCACTCTTTAGCTACACGTTCGTTATTAGTGTGCAATGATTGGTACATTGGCTATATGCTCGTACGATATCTCTCTCATAGATATCTCTGAGCGCATACATCTATCACCTATGTGGTATACAATTACAGTCTATCTGGACCAAACATTGGCGTCGTCTGTGGGGATTCAGTAAATTTCAATTCTCATTCCGCGATGACAAACACTCGTGGTACATATAGCAACGCTCAGCCCCAGTCGCAGCAGCAGCCTACATTGATCAGCTTTAGGCTAGCAGAGATCCAATATTGGTGGAAGTTCATGTAGGCGAAGCCGAGACAGATTTTATCCCGGCTAGAAGCTGAGGCAACCCAGCGACAAATCAAGCGCACCAACCTCACCGGGATGAACAACTCGAAACTGATAACCACATTGTTAACACAACTCTCAATGCAATCCTTCAAAGGATGCAGGAAATGGAGAATAGGTTCCTGGCGCAACAACGGTAGGCTACTAAAGCTAAACACGAACAACCAGCATGGCCAGCCCGAAATGACCAGAAGCCACAACCGAAACGGCCTTGAAGGCCAGAATCGAGACAATGGTAATGGACAGGATGGCCGAGATAGGCAGGATAGAGCACATGGCAACAATGGAGGTCAGGGTAATGGCCGAGATGGCAACAATGGACCCAAACCAAATGACAACCCTAAGTATAATGAGGAACAAAACGATAGCTCATTCACTAATAAACTCATGAAAATGGAAATTCTGTCGAGGATCAAGAAGTCCTAGGTGCTGCCTTATGACTGCAGTCAGGATCCCGAGGCTCACTTAGAGGCTTTTAAAATGGACATGTTGTTCAATGGGATAATCGGTCCTATCATGGCCTGAATATTCGCAACCACTTTAACGAGGCAAGCCATGACTTGGATCAGTAGGATGCCAAGGAACTCAATTGATTCATTTGAGAACCTTGCAGGCACTTTTCGTTTGAACTTCGCCACTAGTAAGGCTCATCCAATGTCGGCATATGCGTTGGGTTGAATTCGGCAGAAGGAAGGAGAGTCATTGCGAAAATACCTGGATCGCTTTAAAGAAGCTGCCCTCAAAGTGCAAAATTTGGCTGAGTCAGTTTACCTACACCTAATTATTTCTGGGCTAGATGGAGAGTCAGCTTTATCCAAGTCTATATATAAGAACCCGATTAACGACTTGGCCAAAGAGTGTTATTACGAAACACTCAAGGTAACCTAGGGCGGCTTATCATCCCCCCTCAAAGGATCTAAGAAGGTGAAAAGGTCCCGGCCAAATCAAGGTCGAGTTGGACACGAGGGAGGAGTTGCAGACTCACAGGCTAGAACCGGAAGGAGAATTGCAGAACGTGATTATCAGAGATAAAGATGAGCAATATACAAAGATCGGTAAGGGCATGAAAGCCAATCTATGGGAACAGATTGTTTTCGTCCTTAAGGGGAATCGTGATGTGTTCACCTGGAAGGCATCCGAGATACCGAGAATTGATCCAACTTTTTGTTGCCATAAAGCTTACCATGTACCCCGAATCTAAATCGGTATCCCAGAAGAAGAGGAAGATAGGTCTGGATCGACGTCAGGCGTTGAATGAACATGTGGACAAGCTGTTGGAAGCCTGGTGTAAAAAAAGAATGGCTAAATAACAACACAAAGCTAAAAAATTTCGCAAATAATAAAGAAAAATTAAAAATCCTTTTTTCAAGAAAGCATGCAAGAGAGATTTTAAACTATTAACAAAAATTCTCAAATCCTTAAAATAGATTCATATTATCATGAACAATGAATCAAAGAAGAGTAATATGTAGCGGAAAATAAAAGAGTAAGGGAAGAGAAGATAACATCGAAATTTATCTTGGTTCACTCTCGGAGGTCACTCATCTCAGAATTGCTCCAAGTCAAGCACGCTTAACTGTGGAGTTCTTCTGATCCGGGCTACCGAAAAGCAGATGTATCTTGTTAGCACAGGTAGTACCAATTAATTCCTATAAGTTATCCTAAACTGTGCAGCCTTATACCTGCACAGCCTTTGGAATCTCTCTCTTTCGGGTGTCGATTCGATCATTCATGCATGTAACCCCCCGCTGGAAGCCTGTCACGAGCCGCTCCTTGTCAGTGCCTCTTTGCACCGGCGATCACTCTCTGCCCACGTCAGCGCTCGGGATGTTACATGCCCACCAGCTTCCGCCTGGTTCGTCCTCGAACCACACCGTACTGGATGAGAGGCCCTGCTCTGATACCATAAAATATAACACCCTGTGTATACCCGGTTTGTTAACATGTAATCGTATTAAGCCACGCTTAATTAAATATGCGGAAAATATTTTTCTTTTCAATTATGACGTCATTAACTTAGCCAAGTTGATAACTTAATCAATTTCATAAAAACATCGCATGTATGTAAATTGCAAAAGACAGCTAACTGAAATACCTCAATAGATAAATAAGTGAATATCTAAGTCACGGATCTACAACACGTAGTCCGAACAATATCCTGATACATTAATACTCACGACCTAAAATCAGAAAGTCAAGTCAATGTGGCATGGATAATCCCCATGCTCACCAAATAAACGACATAGCCAACAGAGTCTCAACAATAACATCAAATGAAGCTATAAGCATGATATCAACAGATATAAACCAGCATCCAAGCACAGTCAGCATAAGCAGATAAACATCAATCAACTAAGCTCTGGCCTCCTGCCGCTAGAGGTCTCAACCCCTGGGTTACCTGAACTTGAAATAAGCGCCCCAAACGTGGGGTGAGATCTCTAAACAGAAATCTCAGTAAGACAAAGGGTCCTCAAGGATCTTCCACTCCAAGCTCACTTACATGTGCAATATAAGTTCTAAAACAGTTCAACAATATAAGTTCCAAAACCAGTGCAATGCAGCAGATAATCATGTCATGTGTGTCAATACTATTCTACTAGCCAAAGAAGTGCAGAAATACGTCTATTACCTACACTAGTGCAAGACGCCACTTGCACCCACCCACAGGAGCACCA